ACACACACACACACACACAGACAAACACACACCACACCGCCTTGGGAACACCAAACTGTAAATAAGACTCGTGCAGGAGTTACTTAGCTGTGATATACATCGAATTGTGGCATTAAAAACAGTCTGCTTTAGGTGACAGTCCGCCTATTAATTGGGTGACTACTATAAATAAGCAGTGAATATTTTCAGCGTCCTTAACCCTTCCGCCATTCTATGTAAATATACACTCTTGGTCATATTTCGGATTTATGGACGTCCGTCAAAATGGTGAACTTTCCCCCCCACCGCCCGGACACACGCACACAGGCGCCCCACCCTCTGTGGAACCTCCTGAGAGACGCATGTGCGCCTTTTCCGCTGTCAGACTGATCACTTCAGACGGAGGACAAGCACCCGCAACTTTTCCCTTTAAAGAAGCGTCAAAGGGAGCGCGGAGTGGTCTTGCAACAGATGCAGTCTTCCAGCAGCGAGGATAAGCGGCACCGTCTCCCCACTGCTTCAGTTTTCCGTCGATACTGAATTTTGGTGCAACTTGGAGAAAAAAAAGCACAAAAGACACAGAATTTTTTCTTTCTTTTTATCTGGATTTAAAGGCTACCAGTGAAATCACAACGTTTACTGGTAAGAACGTGAAATTGCCTAAATTTATTTTAGATTGATTGCTTAACTACTTGAAGAAAATACATTTCTTAGAAAGGAATTCTATGAATGCTGCTTATCTGTGTCTTGGTGTTAAGGATATTGAGCCACATTTTAAAAATGTGCTTAGTTACTAATGTCTTTTATAGTCTTTTGCTTATTATTATTATTATTATTATTATTATTATTATTATTATTATTATTATTGTTGTTGTTGCTTCCATCATTTGCAGACAGTTGAATTCAAGAGACCAGTTTAGCAGCAAACTGACAAGTACTAAAGTGTATTGTTATTCTTAATCAGGGAAAACAAAAATAGATGACAGGCATGGAACTGTAACGAGTCCGGAAACACTGTAATGTCTTAATTTGTTTTTTATAATGTATTGTTGCTCTAAACCTGACCACGCATAAATAACGCTGAAAATGGAACTTTCTGTTCCAGGTGAGGATACGCCTCTGTTTCCAAGGAAGATCCAAAATGTTCAAATGTTCTCTCACACATACACAGTTTAATTGAGGAAAGGACATCATGCTCATGAAAGCATCACTATCATTCACTTCAATTTAGCGGGACGTCTTAATTTCTCAATAACAGCTTTTCTTAATCCAGGATAAAAGCGTATATAAGACATGGGCGACACAAACATCAGCCACATGATAGAAGCTTCAACAGAAACACAGAGCAGTGTCCCAGATGGCCAGTTGGACCACTACCTGGACGGTTATGACATGGACTACGGCATCCCTCTTGACGAGATCCCAGACACAACGCAGGGGCAAGCCTTCTTTGTGGCCACCATCGTTATTGGTGTTGTCCTTGTGTGCATCATGCTTGTTTGTGGGTTGGGAAACTTCATATTTATTGCCACACTGACCCGCTACAAAAAACTCCGCAATCTCACCAACCTGCTTATTGCTAATCTGGCCATCTCAGACTTTATCGTGGCGGTGGTGTGCTGTCCCTTCTTGGTGGACTACTATGTGGTGAAGCAGCTTTCCTGGGATCATGGATTGGTATTGTGTGCTTCTGTAAATTATCTACGTACCGTGTCCCTCTACGTGTCCACAAACGCCCTGCTTGCCATTGCATTTGACAGGTAAAGTATGGAGTTTTCTTTCTGTGCTGTGCATGTGTGAATCTGTTTTAATGTGTCTGTTGGACCATGTTTAATAATTCATTTCTTCTTGTCGAAATCCTCTGAATCAGTAAAGCTTCTTTTCAATTTTTTTTTTCCTGTTAATATCCTCTCAGCAAAGAATAAAAAAATATGTAATAACCACATTTCTGTACCGTCGTAGTAGATAATGAAATGCCTGCAGATAATTATATGATATAAACTATTTATGGAGTCCTCGCTCTAATAGAAATCAGCTCTTGGTTGACTTAGTTGATACAATATGCCAGTTTTAATTTTCTGCCCAGAGGATGTTGATTTGTAGAGACACTGATGAAGTGTTTCTTCGTTCTATGACTGATAGGTGCTGCAGAGAGCTTTTTGAGGTAAGACTATTGACAACTGTCCATGCTTGATTTTTGGTAAACAAAAAAACAAAAAGCATTACAGTTCGAAATGCTCCATTAAGGAAGCAGTTTTGAACAATTGGAGATAAACCTACCTGCTGATTGTTACTGTAACACAGAGCATCTTAATTGTCGACACAAAATTTTTGTTTTTGTTGACGCAAAATTTCAAAGCAAAGGAAATCAGTGAAAGATAAATGCTAGAGAACAAGGATGAATATTGATAAGTGGATGATTACTTCCACAATATGTATTGAACCAGGATTAAGGACTGGATGAGTTCATAGCACACTGAGGAAGAGCACAATTAGTTCAATGATCTGTGAAACGGTGCCCTTCCTTTAGAAGACGTTCATGAGCACTCATTTCTTATTTACTAAACTGAATAATCTATTATTTCAGTTCTTACTAGGTTAAATAATGCATCTTCACAATTGTTCATGTTGCTTTGCTTCATGACTCTTTCCAAGTCTTCATTCTCTGAGCATTCAATACCAAAACATCTTTCCCTCTGTGAGTTTTTGTTCACTTGACAATCAGCCCAAGGACATGTCTAGCGCATCAATGATTGTCTATCTATTGTCTGTCTATTTTTCATGAGTTTTCCTTCTTGATTTTCTTTTTTCTTAGTTTTTGTTGATGTGATGCATTGCTGATACAGTGACTTGCAACAGGAGAAAAGTCTGAGGGGTCTTTAACAGCCGTAGAACTGTGAAAGCCATTTAAAAAAAACACAAGAAAATAATTCTTAATTTTTTTCACATCAAAATTCTGTATGTTAGTTTTTCATAGAACTCTTCAAAAATAAGATTTTGAGACGTCTAATTAATAAACATTATGAGTCGATTAATTAGAAGGCAAGTCGCAATACTCTCATGGTGGCTTGAAAGCAGAACATTGACTAAAAAGTAACTGAACACAAAGTTATGCTTAAAATTAAATAAAGTGTTTACTGCACTAAGGTTCAACAGTTGTGTGTTGGTCAGTAGTGCATGAATCACATCTGGAACCTAAATCTAGCCATTCTGTGTGTGGTTTGCATGATCTCCCAGGGCAATAAGTTATTTAGTGATGTATGTAGGAATTTGGAAACACTGTTTGTAACAGTGTTTCCATTCGCCTGTGATTTGCCTGGGTGTATCCTTCCTCTCGCCAATATAGTAGCTGGAACTATCTCAACTTTTAGGTACCCTTGACTCCTCAACTTAGATGCAAAGTCGGGGCTCACACCGGGAAATCAGTCCAGCACAAAACCAAATCTGCCTTAGATTCACACTTAACCTACCTGAAAGTGGACAAATACGTATCCTTCCATCCATTTTCTACACTCATCCATTCTGTCAGGTTCAAACACTCCTTTTTTGCATTGCTTACATTGACAATGCCCCTAGAAATGTCTTGTATCAATGTGTTAAGTAATCAGAGAGAGTAAAATTGTGGACAAAAACATTGTTTTTAGCTCAGGGTAGGTGTAATAAAAATTATTTCTCTGGATCATGGATGTAAAGAGAGGACCAGAATACTACTTCCAAAGATTCAATGACAGTGCCTAACTTGCTCTTCATAACGTAACTCCATCAATGATTATTATGCCACTGATTTATCTGATATTGGTACTGGTTGTCAATTGGGTATTTCTGTTTGTTCACACCATATTAGCAGTATTTCAAAGAGCATGTGAAAATGTGTTTTGATTTCATTTTGATTGCTAATTAGCCCTGAAAGCTCCAGAAGAAACAGCCTGCTTGATCATCTGTTTATTATACAGCAGGTAGATGTTCCCTCATGAGTCATCTGTATCTCTGCCATTTATTTGATCTGTTTAGTCCTTCTCTTGACACTCTGAAATATACTTCAAACAGCCATTGCACACCAATATTTTAAGTCAAACATAACCCCATTTCATATATTGAATTAAGAAAACTTCTAGTTTGAGCTAACTCTCAGTTTGTCTGTCTTTAGATTGAACATCCAATGGATAATTTCTTCATAAAAAATAAGAAAATAAGAAAACACACATTGGTGGCTCAAAGCTGTATTTAAATGAAAAGGTGATGTACCCTCTCTCACTTTTACAGCACACAGGGATGCTTAATGATGAGCTGTTGAGCTGAGGACCAAAACATTTCCCCTTAAAGCTGAAAGACTACAAAGTGAAGAGCAAGCAGGGAGTTTAAAAGAGCGTCTACACGCTATCTTTGGCAGCAAAGATATCGATAATATATTCTTGCTAAGTAACTGCAGAGTGTTTGGAAAAACGTATTAATTCTCCACCTTGTTCTAAAAAGTCATCATTTGTCAATGTTTCCATCCAGTTTTTCCCTCCTCTGAATGGGTAAAAAAAAAACTTGATTAATTTGGTCAAAGGTAAAACTGAAGGAATGCGAAAATGGTGTAAATTGTATCACGTCTATAACTGATGTGTCACAGTAAACTGAAAAAGACTGCAGTCTTCTTGCGACCCTATTTAGAATATGCGTGTTTTGAAAATGGATGATTGGATACGCAAAGGCTTCTGCGACCATGTCATTTGGCAAAAATACTAGCGCACAACTCTGGGTGGGTTATGTCATCCCCATTTTTTTGCATCAATGGACAAATTTATTCATTGTAACAGAACATAGTTGTAGTGGTTTTCTGAATCAACTGCACTTTAATGGTCTTATTTAATTCAATGTTTATTCTCTACATTCTTCAGGTGATGTGTCCTGTTGGTGTGAGATCGACACCAACAGGACACAACCATAGTCTCTGTCAAGAAAATCACTACATAGGCAACAAAAATACATCTGTGCAGGATGTTTGGGAATTTACAAAGTGACAAAAATGTGCTTTTCTCACAGTCCCCACTGCTCAATTACATCAGGTAAACAGTACAAGGGCATGTCTAAATACAATGTGATCTTAGTGTATGTATCCATACCAATGAATGAGAAAGAGTAAGTGGAAAATTTGTTCCAGATATGAAACAAATCCAAAACTAAACAAATCTGTGAAATACATTCAACTGAAATGTATAAGCTGAAACATTAACGTTAAAATGAGTTTTTGAAAAACAGAATGCACCATTTGCTCAAATTTGCTCAATTATTATGTAAAATAGGAGAAACCAAACATAAAAGAACAAAATTAAGGTACATTACAGTGATGAATAATGATGAGCATAAAAATATAAGTCAGCCCCCTCTAATATAGGGAAATGAAAAGGTTCAGCAGCACTAATTATGCATCAAGTTAGTTGTTGTTTGATTTGAATCTTAAATCCAAAGGCAGGCTGGTTAGTTAGTTTTAAGCCTGTCAAGGTTATTTAGGATAAAAAAGTAGAAAAAAATGCTCAAAAGGGAGGGTTTGTTCATTTGTGCCAATATTAACCTTTCAGCAGGTGACTGTGAAAAACAATGCATATAATCTACTGAGTATTTTAGTTTTGGCCTCACTGTTTGGACTTGTGCTTTTGATGGCAACACTGTCACTACCCAACTGCATCCTTTCTCCTCTAATTAATGTCAAGCTCAATGACATTCCCTGCTCTTGTCTTGGCTGCAGCTTTCAGGCATTGATGTAGTTGGAGCCTACTGATCCTGCTCAAAACTACATTTGTCCTTCCCTACAACCATTTCATGTTTCAGGCGACTCTGAAGGGCAAAAGTCTTCCACCTTCTGTAACAGTCCCCTGTGACAATGGTCTAGTGATACTGTGTTCTCTCTGCTGCACTCTGACTCTTTAGCCTAAAACGTCACCCAAATCCCCCACCAACCTGGTACTCCTCTAAACAAATAGTTACTTTTATAGCATTAGAAGTAAATCCATTGCTGTGTGTAGTTAGAATTATTATTTAGTTGTTTGTTTTTTTAGATAATCATTCTAGTCCTATAACATTTAGGGTTTACTCATATTCTACATTGCCATCACTCATACGCAGATGTGATTAATTTTCCACATTGATAACTGGCCAAAAGTTACCACAGTCTTAAGGCTACCTATTGATATGAAAATAAATGCTTTCTGTCTCAATTGTTGGAAATGTGGGTAGGAAAATTAATTTTCCTTTTTTTTCCCTTAAATTACTTTGTATGAGAGACTCAGTTCACCAAAAAGGGAAATGCTATGTATTACATTTAATTCTTCTATGTGTAGGCAGAAGACGTATAGAGTGCACACAGCACTTAGACTGCTAATAGCTTTGTATTATTGCTTTATTTCCTGCCTCCTCAATGATAGACTTTATGTCTGTGTCCTTCCAGGTACATGGCTATAGTCCATCCTCTGAGGCCTCGAATGAAGTACCAAACCGCCTACTGCCTTATAACAGGAGTCTGGATTGTTCCCATTCTGATATCAATTCCTTCCGCCTACTTTGCGTCTGAGACCATGTATCCTCATGGCGGCACAACCCCAACCACACACAAAGTCTTCTGTGCTCAGATATGGCCGGTGGACCAGCAGGCCTACTATCGCTCCTACTTCCTGTTTGTGTTTGGCGTGGAGTTTGTTGGGCCTGTTATTGTCATGACCATGTGCTACGCCTGCATTTCCCGTGAGCTCTGGTTCAAAAATGTCCCAGGTTTCCAGACGGAGCAGATAAGGAAGAGGTTGCGTTGTCGGCGCAAGACAGTGATGGTCCTGATAGGAATCCTGACGGCATACATCCTGTGCTGGGCACCTTATTACGGCTTCACCATCCTGCGAGACTTCCACCCAACACTCATATCACGCCACAGAAACTCGCTGGTGGCTTTTTACATCATCGAGTGCATCGCCATGAGCAACAGCATGATCAATACCTTTTGTTTTGTCAGTGTGAAGAATAACACGGTTAAGTACCTGAAGAAAATTGTGCTCCTGCGTTGGAGATCAACGTATGTTCCTTCAAAGACCGTGGATGAAACAGACATGCGGACCTCCTCCATGCCTGTAACCGAAGAGATTGAATGCATTCACCTGAGGTGAGGAGAATGAACTGGAATTGCAGTCAATTATATTTGGACTGTTTATATCTGTAAAACTGGCAGCATAGATTTTTGACGTAAAGATTTATGGTGGTTGTTTCTTTTTCATATTCTAGATTAAAAAAGTAATTTTCATGAAGTGAAATCAAAGTTCAGCATACTCTGACATTGTTGTGGAGTTATATTGTAAGTGATATGAACAAAATAAAACATCTGTAAAATGAGACTGTAACTTTTGTGGCATTTATGGTGTGGATGTAAACTGCTCAATGTAAAATATTGTTGTATTTATATTCTCTGCGCAACAATGAAGACACCACTTACGCTAACTGATTCTACTATAATGTGAATCTTTGTATATCTTTTATCTGTTTAGTTTTTTTAAGGTTTTCAAAAAGATCAAATAGCCTGATACCATTTGAAACTTATTGTTTTTTCATCGAGTTATTACTCTTCAGTCATTTATTACAGACCACCTAGCGAAAAAATGCCCTAGCCTGTTGAATGTATGAACAGCTTTACCTTTTTTGAAAATATGTCCTTTACAATAAATATGACATTGCATGTTCTTTTGTGTACTAGTCTATTTTTGTGAGGTTATGTTGATATACAATAAAACTCTTAATATAAGAAAAAAAACTGTGAAATAGGGCTCTTTCTTGGATGTACTATAAGTTACAAAAAAATAGCTTAAAATAAACATTCCAAAGCATTGTTCTTTCTTTTCTTTGCTTTTCCCCCTCTCCTTTTACTTTACTTCTCCCATTGATAATAAAAGGTTCCCAAAAGTCAAACCAAAATCCAAGCCGAGTTGGGCTGAAAGGAGGAAAAGGGAACAAATGTCTGAGATTTTGCTTTAACGTTATGTTTGTTTTCCTTTTTGTGTGTGTGCCAAGTTAAATTGTCATCATTAGTTTGTGTTCTTCTTTTTCTAGTTTGGATTTTTCTTGTAGTTTAGGTTGGTTTGTGTATTGATCTTTTTTGCCTTCTGTGGTTCCAGTGTTTTAGTGTGCTTTGTTTTCTATGGTCTTAGTCTTCTTTTCTTTTCCTCTTTTCTATTTTGCACTTTACCCTGGTTATTCTTATCTATAGTTCAGAACCTGTGTGGTACTCTGCTCCACTACCTTCATCCAATCCTAATCCTCCTCCTCTGTATTTAAGATCCATGTTTCTGTCTCAGTCATTGTCAGATATTCACTGTTGTCACCATCACTTTATCTGTGTTTTTTCTTCTAGTACTTCATGTTTCTACATTCCAGACAGTTCCATTTTTCTATTTTGGTCTCTCTCTGGATGTGGTCACACATTGGTGCCTAAATACTACTTTGTTTTGTATTATAGGCTTGGTCACACTTTTTGTTTGTGTTAATATATTCAAATTTAGTTCTCCTCCACCAGCATCGTGGTCCTGGTCCACATCCATACATGGCGACAGTAATTTTAACAAGTTTAATTTCATTGTAGGACATATGTCATGAATGCGGCTCATTAATGTTGGTTTCGAGTTTATGCTCATGTCTTATAGATGGCATTCTGGGAATACAGTAAATTGCAACAGAAGTTATTCCAATTTCAGTTGAGAATATGCTTTAATGAATGCAGGACACTTCACAAAACGTTAACCTGATTCCAGAGAAACTGTTTTGCATTTTGTCAGCCCAAAGTTTCACTTCCAAAAAAGACCACATACCACATGTAGGTTTCAGATACCTGCACAGGGTTATCTAACGAGTACAAACAGCTGAAGCTGCAAAAGCAGTAGACTTTAAAGTTACTAACCTAATCTGATGTTCAGGAAGAAACCAGGCTGGTAATGGGAGAAAATAAGAAAAGAAAGTTAAACTTAATTTCACATAGCCTACATGGAAAATACACAAAAGCATAACAAAACAATTGAGCAAATACTTATAGCAAAAAAAGCTTTGAAAATACAACAGAACGAGCACAAGCTAAACTAAAAGTGAATGGGAAAGCTTGACATATTACATAATTCAAACCTATATGTTAGAAAGCATTACCATACCACAATGTCTTTTTTTAACATGCTTTGTTTGAAGATTTAGGATTGAAGACAGATAATTGTCATGCTGTGTTTTAGGCACAAGCAAAGTCATTCTTTAAAGGCATATACAGGTACAAGTTATTTTAGAGGTACACAATACCCATCATCTTCAAGTGAAAGGCTTTGTGCCATAGCTTCATGTGTGAGGTCATCTAGACATTGAATGCAGTTACAGTATCTGAAAGAGGAGAGAATGGATGGGTCATAGGCCCAGCTGTGTGGCTATTTAGTATTTTGTTTAGATCTTACTATAGATAGCTTGGGGTGATGGAAACATGAACTGCTGTCCTTCTCTGCTGTAAAGTAGATTTCCCAGCCAAGTATGTATCAAAAGGGTTCCTTGTTGTTTCACCCACTGTCTGCAAAGTATTCAAGGTTTTAAGCTTCACAATCATTTATATGGCATATTTGACAGCTGATTAAAAGTGTTAAACCAGAACAGAGAATGGCACAAAATAATGCTAAATTGTATTAATTGTGATTAGAGCTAATTATGCTAATTATGTGGGAATGAAGACCATGGTAAACATTATGGAAAAGAATATGAATAGTTACCAACTGAACTGCATTATTTAACGTTCATTCAACTTGTGTCAATAGCATGAAAGTCTAAATTAAACAACTATGTTGTATAAATCTTGCAATAACCATTTTGTCCAGTTGTGGGATGACACGTGTTTCATAACTTATAGCTACTATACATATTGACAAAGTTGTTATATATATATAATTTTCATCTGTTAAATCTCCGGGGAAAAAAAGAATAAAATAAATCCAAGTATTGTCTTCATACAGGAAGGGGAAGTTTATTTTAATGACTTCCCAGCTCCTGTTGTTGTGGGATGATGAGGTAAGAGGTTTATATATGGATGCTTCACATCTTGATTGATGTGAACAGGTTCTAAATGTTTTACTTTACAATGGTGAAATTGAAATATGTCCAGCCTAACCAAATTGATGTTTGCTCACTTTGTTTTCAGCCTCGGTTTGGCCCTTGGGATTGTCTTTACTATGACAACTCAAGAAAATCGTCTCTAATGCTGATTTTCTAACAAGCTGTTATCTGATGCTATAAAATGTTTACTGTGCTGTTATCAGATCACTGCTTATTGTCCCCATTAGTCTCTGGGCACCCATCCCTCTGGGTGAACCTTCAACAAGTACAAAGGTGTTTTTCTTCTTTGTACCTCTCTTTCCTGAAATGTGGCAACTCAACCTTTTCAAACCTATTGTTTTCTGCACCAACAGGAAACATAGCTTGTCATGTTTGGATCCACTGGGTTTTACCTTTGTTAAGTTCAAACGTTTTACACATCTGAAGATGAACACATTCTTTTATAATGTTTTGTACTCTACAGATAGTGATTCCAACACTAATCACTTTCTCATCAAATGCATTTAGTCTGCTTATAAAAAAAAGAATGATCATGTATACATCCATCTGAAAACACAACACATCACTTCTAACGGGATCTATAAGCTTCAGGTTTTGCCCAGATCATTCAGATTTGATTGGTTCCCCCATTTATTTGACAGACTTTTTTAAACATCGTTCGGAAGTAATGATTATTCTCTCCTCTAGTATCTGCTTTATGCCATGTCTCCCCATATCTTCCTTTTCTTTTGGCAGTGTGTGTCACCAGTTGTGCTCACTGGTTATCTTGCCAGTAATGTGTCCACACACAATGCATTTTGTGGCCATTTATCTTGTGTTGGGGAAACCCTCTTGCAGAGCCCTCGGAACACTACTTAAAGATGTTCAATGTCAGCTTAAAGTAGAGTCCCTATTCTCCATTAAAAAGTCAAATTCTTTAATATAATTTGTCACTTTGTCCCAGTGGAACCTATTACGGAATGCATTATGTATGCATACGTTTGAGCCTTCTTCCCTGCTGCATCTGAGCATGGTGATATTTCTTATTTGTTTTTAAATAAAAGATTACATGCCATGTAGTAGTTGTTGGGTAGGGGGGGTGGGGTGGGTAATGATAGCTAAATAGACAAAAATTGATATTTACTTATGACATCAAATGTAATTTTATGAATGTTTTAGGCAATTAAAACACTGTGAATGTTCTAATTCACACCTGTCCCCCAGTGTACCCCACCTCTCAACCGATGTCAGCTGAGATAGGCTACTGCACCCACCGCAACCCTATTTGGAATAAGCTGTACAGGAAATGGATGCATGCATTATAATTCAATTCAGTTATATTGTCAAAGACCTGGAACCAAGAAAGAAAAAAAAATGGCATACTGGTTTATGATAACATCTTATATGTTGGTGGCATGGAAGGCCATTTCAATTAGATTTTCCACTCATGTTACTCAGAAAGGGGGCAGGTTTCAAATAGCGATAAGTGCACTACTTGTCAGTCAATCCTGATAAAATACTTTGCTTAAATAGCATTCTAATAACAAGGGTGTTCTTTAATTGCTTGACCAAAAAGTGGCCTTTGACATCAGATTTATACAAATACTAAAGCAGCACCATATGAATTCAGTAGATAAACACTGCCTCTATGACACAGTTTGCAAGGCCGTAGAGGGAATAGGTGCCACATTATATAAATGATAGTTCGAAAAAGCAAAACAGTTTGCTTAAAGGGATTTTGACAGACATCACAGTCTGCTTTGTTTGACTCAATGGAAATGGAAAAACAATAGATTATAGAGATTATATTCATGCTCTGTGGTTACTGACAGCATTACACTTTTGCAAAGGACATTTCGAGAGTGTCCTCTAAGAACATACAAGGGGGATTTAAAAATATATATATATTATTTCTATTTTGAAATTCGTGTGAACATTTTGTGACTAAAACTGATGAACTTATATCTGATTATTCTCAACAGTCATATACACTGGTCTTGAGGACATACACATCCAGGGTGGGATTGATGACAATACCAAAAATGTCTAAAAGCTAAAGATTTCACCTGAGGAAAAAACAATAAGAATGTAACTTTGCATCATAGGTAGATATTTTCTTGTGTAACCCAAATATAAAATCCAAAAGCATTAAATTGGGTACATGTATTTTTGCATTAATTTGATTCTGTTTGCATTTTCTGAAACAGAGTTGGAAGCAATGCCAACAAAAAATTGGAAAACTGTGATCTCCAGCAGATGGGATCCATTTGCAAATGTCTATACACTCAGTGTGTTGTTTGTACAGTTTAGACAATGTTGTGGTTCAGGCAGATGTCAAACCGCATCAGTCAAAAGCCAACATCATGGTTATTCTCGCCTCATCTTTCCAATGGGAATTTAAGGAAAGAATGACCTGAAATACCACTGTGTGTCACTTTTCCGTTAGGACAACATGTAAGTGAAGGGGCTCTGCAGAACAGTGAGTGTGTCATGGAGGAGGGGGGAGTTGTTGTTCATTACTGATGAAAGTATGGCTGTCATCTTCAAGTTTTATAAGTTGAGGGGATTTTCTACTCATCAGTGCTCTTTGTGTGTGCAG